ACTGCAAGGTGCAAGATGACATGCCTAACCTTGTCATCTTGAAGGTGAAGTCGATGACGAAGAGAGCGGACTCTCTTCGGGTGTTGGTGGACTCGGGCGCGTCGAATAACTTTGTTCGACAGCAAAGTCTGCCGCTGTTGGACTTTGAGGAGAGGCATGTGCCTCGAAGTCAACTGGAAGTACGATTGGCAACGGGTGCCATCGTGAAGACCGAGAAGCACGTGATTCGCGCACGCTTCTCGTACAAACACCGGATGTTTGTGGAAGAACTTCTCCTCCTGGACTTGGACGACAAGTTCGACATGGTGTTGGGCAAGCCGTGGCTTGCACGGCATGATCCTATTATCGGCTGAGAGAAGCGTATTGTCGCACGCTGCCGCAGCGCAGCAGAGAGCGATGGCCCTATTAGCGCTGCGGATACACCTAACGGTGCATCCAAACCTCCTTCAGAGACAGTGGCTCGCGCCGCCGTCTCCAGTCTCAGCGCGAGGAGCGCACGAGCTGTAACGACTCCGGGAGTCGTTGACAGTAAAAGTGTGTCTGGTCAGAAACCCAACACTTCTAGAATGTTCTCCGCCGTAAGGCATCGAGGTGACAACAGCGTGTCGACTCCGGGAGTTGACACGTGCTCGGTATTAGATACAAAAACGTTCTCCGACGAGAGACGTCGAAGTGACAACAATGTGTCAGCTCTGGGAAATGCGACAGACTGCTCCGCCGCTATGCGTAGAGGTGACGACGAAACATCTACTCCGGGAGTCGATGCGACAAGCAGTGCGGACGGTTGCAAACGTCCAGCCCTAAAGCTTGCGTGCTGTCATGCAGCCGGGCTGCAAGAAGCAGGGCGCGATCAAGCCGAGGTTGATGACGCGTGCCCGCGGGTACAAGAACCCGCCGGCGGTATCAAGGAACGTTCTTCCATGGCCGGGCCTGGACGAAACGCAAGTGAATCAGAGATTCACAAGAAGAAACGACGGTGCAGACACAACTCGCTGCGCAAGTCTCGGTCAGGGACCGAGACTCTTCATGGTGTGTCTGCCGGGCAGACACAAGTGGCAACAATGGCCATAGAGACGTTGAACGTCTTGACGCGGGCCTGTACTGGGTATCAGTACGAGAAGATGGAGTTGGAGAACCCTCCGACTGATGCG